ATTTTCTCTGAATTCATTTTTTTTTGTAATGTGAAAAACCTATGGCTAAGAATCGAAAAAGGTAAAGAAAAGTCAAAATAGATAATAGTGTTTTGGTTATTATTATTGTTCACAATACAGAATTGTGATTTAAATTATTCGATCATCAAATATCCACTGTCTACTACAACTATTTAGCTGACTGACCAACCGACCTCCATGGAGTTGAATGATAAATTCAAATCACGAATTCAGAACTCACGATCTGTGTGTGATCCAGCACCTCACACACACACACACACACACACACAAATATATACAGTGAGACATCATATTATGTAGAGCAAATGAAAAAGATCTTTTCTTTTTTTTCATTCAACTATAATATTGTTGAAGAAGCAGCCTTATTTTTTGAAAATAAATGAATGAATGACCAACAAGTCATTTAATAGATAACCAAAGAAAAAAAAAATTCGAAACTGTCATTCTGTTAAATTAATCGAGTCCTTACTTTTATCATCATCATTATTATTCTTGATTAATATACTCTATACACACTGTCGTTTGTCAGAAAAAAAAATTTCCACAAAATTACCGATTGAGAAATGTGATCAGACAAGAAAATATCATTTTCTTTCTGGTTATTATTACTAAGGTATAAATGCTATGCGTTTGTTATGTACGATGATCCACAAATCATTTGATTGTGGATAAGTAAGTATAGTTTTAGTAGTATACTATCGCTTAAATTTTCATATCGGATTCATGATTCCATAGAATCTTTCTGAAATGAATAAATCGTATAGATTCTATGTAGCATTTACAGTGGTGGTAATGATAATCGATTTGATTTATCCTTGATGACATTAATTGTTGTCTCTATAGCATATTGTATATAGAGATAGTTGACCATATCGATCATAATGATGATGATGATGATGATGAGTGATACAATTTATTGTCAACCAACATTACGGTTACACAGTAATAATGATTATGTGTCCACTATAATCGATTCATTCGGAAATTAATAATGATAATAATAACAGCAACAAGAACTAGAATTAGGTGAACATATTACATGATGATGGTGGTCATCATTATTATATTGTACAAAATTCATGATAATAGCTTTCCGATAGATTTTCTTCCAATTATATTTGATCTTTATAATGATGATCACTTGTAAAATGAAAATGATTTTCAAAACAGCAGCAGCAGCAGCAGCAGTTGCAGCAGAAGTAATAGTAGGTAGAGGTGATGATGGAATGGAAGGTAATCGTAATCGAAATTGACTTCAATTGATCAATATTAATATTGACAATATTATATGATGATGATGATTACCAAACCGGCTTCGATTTTTTCCAGAAAAATTTTTTTTTTCACCAAAAAATGTAATCCCAATAGTTAATTTTTATAAGCTGTAATTTTCTAGCACACATTTTGAAAATCAAAAAAACTGCAGGCGGCAAAATTTTTTTTTCAAAATATTTTTTTTACTCCCTCCAGAAGCGCCATCTATTTTTTATGGATTAAAACTTAAAAAATCATTTGCTTGACTAGATTGGTAGATGGCAGTATTTGTTTATTTAATGATTAATTTTGAGAATTGTGAATTAAAGTCAACTCGAAAAGATACAATACAATTGACGAAATCAAATCGAAAATAAATGACCAATCGGAAAAGTAATCAAAGAAATGGCTGGTTGCATTCTTTTGGCATCGAAAAAAAAACCGGCGGCCGTCAATATCGATATATATCTGATGATGAACCGAAACCCGTGATAATGGCTGGTTGTGTGATTGCCAGGTGTATCTATTAGATTCATGGTAGATACAAGAATGATGGACAACATCGTAAGAAGAAAATGGTTGAGCAGGGGAGCGGCTGTTTTTATTTATATGGATCAAAATCAACATTCATTATCATCAAAAAAAAATCCCGGAAAAAACGAATCGATAGATTTTTTTTTTTTCGAGCTTGATCAAAAATTTATAACCACATTTGTCCACAACGAATAGCAGCAGGCTGCATGTAATGGCCGATATAAACCAAACCAAAACGAACCAAATCAAATCAAATTCAAAATAAAAATAAAAACTCAATTTCAGAATGCAATGATCCAATCATGATGATAATGATAATCGACCGACAAAAAGATTTGGCCGCCAAAAAATGGGCCAAAAATCAACAAAAAAAAACTGCATAATGATCCATATGATGATCACTTCAATGGGCTCGAATATAATGGGCAGACATTCATCTTTATTTTTTTTTCTTGAAATTGAAATTTTTAATTTTTGAAAGAGAAGAAAAAAAATTCTTTAAAAATTCATTCTACTATTCATCGGCGACCAGCGAATATAAAAAAAATGAACAAGTGATTACGAATAAGAGATAATGGATCCGAAGAAAATCATATCTGGAAACTGAAATAATTTAATTTTCTAGAATTGCAAATGTTTCATACATTCGGCATTCATTTATTCGATTCATATGTGACATTCTTTATCGGGAAACAGATTCATAAAAAAATATGTCTATTGCCATTGGTATTTTCAATGAGAAATGAAACAAAAAATATCCGCATTCATCCGATTCGATCAATCAATGAAAAAAAACCAATATATGTTAATTATTGTCGAAACATATACGAAAAGTTTTCGAAAACTATTTTTTGTTGTTTCCAAAATGTTAAGAAGAAAGTTTTTAATTTTATCAGTTAATTATTATTAGGAGAAAGGCTGTTATTTTCTTATAATGATGATAACGAAAAAAAAATAAATAAGAAATTTAAATTTTTTATATATATTCTACAAACAAATAAATAGAAAACTTGATCATTTCACATTCCATCTCATTGATTAAAGTTTCCAATGAAAAACATCAATCCAATACGATTGATTGAAACGATTCTCTTCTATTTTTTTTCTATGATGAGAATGAGAAAGCAAAGAAAAAAACCTTTGCAAATATTCAATTCAAATGATCATGATCATCATTATCAATATAGACTAAATGTGCTGGGTAAGACCACCATATCCTCCTTGTCGATCCATATAATGGACATGCTCAACATTGACTTTTTTTTTTGACTGACGCACCAACAATGTAGCTATCTTTTGGTTTTATTTCATGTGAATCCATTTTCATTCATTCCATTCATTTGTCTATGATCTTGGTTTTGATGATGATGACGGCGCCATTTTTGTAAATCACTTCATTCGGTCAACACAAATACACACGCACACACACACACACACATACACACACATACACTGACAAACACGACTATATGAATTTAGTGATCGCGCCAAAAAACAAAATTCTTTCTTCTATTGTCTGTATGACGATGATGATTCCTTATATATTCTTCATTTTATTCTTTCATTTTAAGTTTCACTTACCATTATAAAAATTATTCTTTATTTACATCATTTTCATTTATTAGTGTGTGTGTGTATTGGTTATTTTTTTTTTTTTTTTTTTTTTGATATTTGATAAATATTCCATCAAAAAACAAACAATTTAAACAAAACATTTTCAAAACGAACAAAAAATTGCTGATCCAATCAAGTCCAGTTTTTGTTTTTGTTTGTGTGTGTATGTGTGTGTGTGTGTAGAGAAAGAGAAGAAATTGAATTTGTCTATATTGTGAATATGGCCGAATCATGAATGAATTATTCAATCCAATTGAATGTAATCAAAATATGATTTTTGTTTTCGTTTTGGAAGACCGAAAAATAAATTAAAATCAAATCGATTATTGAAACTCATATAAATATATTGGTGCCATAAAAAACAAAAATTGGATAATAATGACCAATATTTTCGATTTTCGCTGCTATTTTGTGGGCTGGTGATGATGTGGCCAGTGTATGTTTCTCGGTGTATTACACACAAATGTATTTGAATGATTTGTGTGTCCGCATATGTGTGTGTATATGTGTGTGTATGTGTGTGTGTGATTATCCACATGTCTCTTAAATATTTCGTAAAATGATTCATGATTATGTCCATCATCACCATTTCCATATGTTGGTCAAATTATTGAATTTTTTTTTCTTGGCCATTCATTCATTCATTCATTTATTAAGAGAAAAAAAATGATTCTCTCAAGAGAATGACTCGTCCACTCATCATAATAATAATCATGTTTGTTATATCGTCTTCGTCGTCTTCGTCTTCGTCGTCGTCGTCATCGTCATCATAGATAACTGTTTGTGTTTATATGAAGGCATTGTTTTTCATTTTGCTGTGTATTTGTTGTTTTTATCTCTCCAGATTTTTTTTATCATTATTATTATTATTCTCATTCAATCTGTCATCCTAGGAAATAAAAACAACTTCTTGTCTTTTTTTTCAATTTTATTTGTTTTTCTATTCTTTCAAAGTGACCGGAGAAAATTCTCTCGATTCTTGGATAAGATTTTTAAAAATCCGGCAAATTCATTATAGCCAAATTTTTATTGCTCGTGGTCATTTATTTTGATTTTTTTTCTTTGTTCTTAAAACAAAACAAAAAAAAACAGTGAAACATTGCTGCTTTAATTCTGAAAACATCGTTCATTCATTCATTTCATTTCATTCTATTCATTCGATTATTGTGAGATATATCACTTGGAAATAATGGTTTCTTCATTCGTAGACTATCACCATCATCATCATCATCATCGGCAATAGTTCAAGTCGGATATTCAGCCAAAAAAAGTACTTTGGAAGAAAAGAGAAAAAAAACTTTCTCATTAATTTATTGATATCAAAGTAATGACCAAGTGAATGTTGCTGTCGCAATTGGTTTTTTGAGGCAAACATCCGATTCAATTCCGATGATGATGATGATGATGATGGTGGTGATGAGCAAAGAAAAAGATTGTCTCGAGATTGAATGAATCCCGACTAACTATTCAACTGTATGTATGTGAAAGAGTTAGTGAATGTGAATTATATATACTAAGACAAGAGAAAAACTCCCGACACACACCCACACATGTCTATACCGCATATAGCTGTGTGAGTGGAAAGTTATCAAATAGTCGCTTATCTTATCATCATTCATGAGATGATAGGTTAAATATTGTATCATCATACAGTTTTTTTTGGAACATTTTCTGAATAACAACAACAAGAATCGAACATTATCATCGAAAACAATTACAACAACAAAAATCTGGACCAGAAAAAAAACGACATAAAAAGCAAGACCACAAGATACACGAATGTACGGGAATCTTCAATGTTAATGTCTTGTTGCACATTGTCGTCGTGTTCATCATCACCACCATCATCACCATCCACATCATCATCATCATCATCACCATCAAAGCCAAATCCATTGTCGTCGTCATTGTCGCCAAACCGAATAGCAAAACTTGTATTAATAATTGTATTCATAATGATGAACAACAGTTATTCGGTCAATACAATGTGGATTATCGGTATGTATGTATATTAAAGGCGAGACGCGTTATCATTAAGGAAATTCCTTTCAATTTTTTTTCTGGCTATATTTGATCATTATTACCACCACCAACCAATTGTTATTTGTTATCATCATTTGAGAATGTATATATATATATTACACTCATTTATCTCTCTTCAACAAATACCCGGTATATGGCATTAAAAAAAAGAACTACTGTTGTTGTAAAAGTTAAGCATTTATCTATTTTCCTTCCCCTACCAAAATTTGATCACATAAGGCCTGTATGGTCTATGATGATGATGATGATGCCTCATGTTCATTTTAGTCTCTTCATGTCAGTCATTTCCAAATGGTATCGGTTGAACCAAAAATATTCTTGATTCCTTTTAGGCTAATTGATTTGTACCGTTTCTCTTTATCAGTGAATGTGTGTATTGTTGTTGTGTTATGATCAGTGAACCACAAATAAAGTTTTTTTTTTGCTGTTTAATTTGGAAGAATCATCTCATCTTATCATTGTTCAAATGATGATGATTAGCTTGATAATAAATATAAAGTTTTTCTGTTTTGTTTCTGGGAAATACAATACACATTCCATATATATATTAATTATAATCCAGGATCTTTGATCCATACACATCGATTCATCACAAAGAAATGAAAGCATGAAAACACAAACAACAAACTTAATATAAGAACAATAATTTCTGGTGTTATGTATTATTTTTTATGAATTTGAACTATAGAAAAAGAGATGTTTGCTGTATAGGACTATATTGAAATGACAGATGATATATGACAGTTGATTTCAATTGTTGGTTGAATCAAATTTCCAATTGAATCAATGATTGAATAATTATGTTAATCAATGATAAATTCAAATTGAAATGAGATAAAACCTGCAAAATAATTATAATAGAAACGATGAACAAAAAAAAAAAAAGAAATTCTTTGATTCTTTGCTTTTATTCAAGTGTCATAATAGTTTGTGTTTGTGTGTGTGTGTGTATGTGTGTAGAATGAGTTGACAATGATGATGTCATGTTTGGCATTATTACTGTATGTGCATCAGACCATAAGATTGGCAATGGAAACCCATCGATAACTTTCAATAAATAAAAAAAAAGAATTGGGCTAACATGAATGTCATCATTAATTTTCATTATTACCATTTTGTTTTGTTTTTTCCATAATATTTGGTCGATATGGTGTGTGTGTGTGTGTTTGGTTATATTCAACCCAACAACACATCAACACAATTTAGTCTCTCTCTATATGTGGTTTTTCATGATTCTTCAAACTTGATTTGCTCATCCGGATGAAAGATCATGGAGATGCATTGTCATTGGTATAAACGGAAAAAATAAAAAAAAAATTTCCAAATAAACACATCTAAACAAACATAGTGATCAACATCATCATCATCATCATCATCATCATCGAAAAACTACGAAACGAACCAGAAAAGAGAGAGAGAGAGAGAGAGGAAAGAAATGATGGCCAAAAAAATCAATGAACAGAATTAACTCCCACACAAACACACACAGGCATGGTATTGCATACAGAACGAGTGGTAGAAAAAAAAAGAAATCAATAAAATATTTATGTCAATAGTCACCGTTGTCGTCGTTCAACACAATACTCGGAACCAGAATATAAAAAAAACATTCAAACCATTTTTTGGATCTGGAACAATCCTTCTCTTCATCCACCATCACCACCACCACCACCACCAACAACAACAAAACAAACATAACAATCATTCCATGCTGCAATTGATAAATACTAAAAATATTCCTTCGTATTTTTTTTTTTTTTTTTTGACTATTCATTCCAGCCCCTCTCTCTCTTTTTTCTCAATTCGATTCTTACATTTCATTTCTTATTCGTGTATGATTATCATTCCCGAATTCCCAATGTCTCTATAGACGTTTTATTTTTTTTTCACTGTATGTGTAAGAATCAAGTAAATATATTGATTGATCAATTCTGACATCATCATCATCATCATCATCATCGTGATGATGGTCGTCATCTTTGTTATTTGGATTTTTGCAATAGTAAAAACCATTGAGTAGAGGGAAAGAGATGGGGGTAGCAATCATTTTTCTCTCTTTTCTATATATGCCCGTGACAAAACGGAATTTACATTTTTCGTTGTTGTTGTTGTTGTTACTGGATTGGATTGACAATCTCGCGACAAATGCACACATACACACGCAAATATACATTGTTGCCCCAAATGATTACTGTTTGACTTTTTTTTTATTTTCTCAAAAAAAAAAAAAAATGAAATTCCATGTGTTTCACCCCTACTCCTCACTATATTTGGATGATGAATATGAAATGAAAACTTGCACCAAAATGAAAAGAGAAACCGTCAACGCGTGATTCACAAGAATTTCGTTAACATTTTTATCTGTTTTTTTCAAATGACAAATAAACAGCCATACGGAATCGGGCAATCATTATCATTTGAGTGAATCCAATTCAATCCAAACACATAGGACCGGTGTATAGAACATGACATGTCACAGACACACACACACACGCACCTACATTTTATATGCCATTTTGATTGAACCTTGATATGATGATTGTCTCCACCTCGGTGGATTGGTTTTATTTTTTTTTTTTTTTATTCTGAGTGTGTCAAATGAGCTCTGATGATGATGATGATGATGATAAAAATCTAAAAGAGAGAGGCGATAAAAATTGGATGATGATTTTGAATTCTTTAGAGAATTTTTTTTGACTTGTAAATTATACTAGAAATATTTGGTGAAATTGTTCAAAAAAAAAATTGTAAAAGATAAGCAATGATTGAATGAATGGCGTATAAATCACAATAAGCTAAAACAACATCATACACATTGATCGATATGTCATCATCATCATCATTATCATAGTTACACTGTAACTATATTTCTGTTCTGGCCAAATCTAAAATGAATGAATTTTCTTTTTCCCCTTCAACATTATATAACATATAAACAAGATACTGATAATAATAATAATAACCTCATCGTCATCAAAAAAAAAGATTGAATGTCGTTATAAGCTTCCTGGATTTGTATCAAAAATATTTTTTTTTGTGGTGTAAAATCCATACCATACAATGCACACACACACACACACACACACACACACACACACATTGAGAGAGAGATAGGCCCAAACATTACATGGTCTTTTTTTCTGACTTGGGCACCAACCAAGCAAAAAAAAGACCAATGAAAATTGGTTAAAGATAAAAAAGATTGCAAATTGAAAGAGAGAGAGAGAGTGAAAGGAAAAGAAAAGAAAATTCACTAGAAATCACTTCATTTTTTCTTTTTGTTAGTAAAAAGTATGGAAAAGAGAAAAAAAAATAATAAAATCCATAAACCAAAGATGAAGAAAATGAGATTATTCAACATTTTTTTTCATCAGGCTTACATAACTTTATTCAAAATTCTCTTGGTTTAAAATCGAGGTACAAAAAAAAGAAATGATGGTCCAAAAAGTGTTTTCAATGCAGAATAACTGAGTTATCATATTCTCATCGTCATCAACATCGTCGTCGATGAAGGAACTCAAAACACCAAACACTAAATACGAAATGCAATGAGTTGCAGATTTTTTTTTTGCTCATTCTTCATTTTGTTAGCTGCGTAAAATATTATCTAATATAGTCCCGGTATATTTTGGCCGTATCCGGAATCCAGATACATACAAACACTTGCTAGTGTGAATTTGTGGTGGGCATCATCACCAAAATCAAATTTTTTTTAGCTAAATCAAAAAGTCCTTTCTTACTTTTTACTGGAAAAAACTCCAGTTTCACTTTATTATGGTTGACACAAGATAATAATAACACATTGTCTAGTGAGTGAGAAAAATTAATATCAAAAAAATGAAAAATAAATCTCACTTTCTGTATGTGTGTGTGTGTGTGTGTTTTTATGAAAAATATGGAAAATAATAAAATCAAGAATAAATATATAAAAGTAAATGCCGTGAAAGAATGCATAAAATTGAAATTTCTTCATTTTTTTTCATAAATATAGCCATTCGGTTTGTGTATATGTGGCTGTGTAAATACAGAGAGACACAAAATGACAATGTATTGCTGTGTTTGATTCATCATGATACATGTGACATTGTTTATCGAAAAATAGATTCTGCATTTTTTTTTTTTTTTTTTTCTGTCGGATGAATTATTTATTCCGATCAATTATTACATTTACACAAGGTTAAGATATTAAAAATATTTTATTTTAATGTCTATGGGTGTTTGGGGTCTGGTGTGCTTTTTTGTATTTATTATAAAATCGATCAATTTTTTGTTTGATGCATCCATATACCAGATCGATCCTGAAAAAAATCGGTACTTACTGTCTGATGATGTATGCCATCGATGTAATCGAAATAAAATTCAAGATTGTATGAAGAGATAATGTTTAGCGGTAAAAATGACATCAACAACAAAAATATTTGAATCGTAGCTAAAATGAATACATTCAAGCTAACATTTTCATAACATAATGACATTTTTTCTTTTTTGAATATCATCGCTAAACGTTGTCATTCTAGGAATCAGTGAAAAAACAAAAAAAAATTAGTCCATTCAATTCCATGATCATCTTTTGTTATTTGATCCATCGATCCATATATTGATCTCGTTATATAAATATATGGTAGCGAGAATATTTATATAATCTATAATCGTTATGTGCCACATTATCCATTGAACTAATACGATATGATAGACAATAAACAAGTGAAAATCATCATTACAAAAAAAAAGTGAAAAAAAATGACAATATGACATGATGACGATGACGACAGCAGTAGCAATAATCATAAGCAGAAATCTTTGTAGTTTTTTTTCTATTCATTAGAAAGAATTTTTTTTTCTATTCTAAACAGACTCCCCACCCCAAAAAAAAACAGTCAAAGTTATTTTGAAAAATATAAAAAGTGAGAGAAAGAAATAAAAAAAAAATTCTTAAACATTGTACAGAATATTCT